TAAGCTGTCTTGTTAACTGGCTAATATGTATACACTAATTGCCCCAGAAGTAGTTCTAAATACATAGTACTGCCATGTACAGCTTTTAAGAGATACCAAGATACCAACTTCCCAGCAGAGAAGATGAGACAGCTATTAGTACCAAATAACTGCCAAAGGATAGACTTTAAGAAACTGTAAGAAATGCTCCTACATCACCCACACTAATCCTAAAACACTTCCTCAACTTAGAAGTCATTAGTGTTTTAGAACACTATGGATGGGGAAGCACTTGAAATTGCAAGGCAAAGCTCAGAAGTTCCTTAAGATGGACTGGACACCACAGAAATTAATTGCTCTCACAGAAATCAAGAAGCAGCCTTAACTCTTCAGCTATGGGATCACAGACACCCATGGGATATTCTGTTTACTAAGGCATATGGAAAAGGAGCTGAACAAATTAGAAATGCCATACTTGTCAGTCCAAGGAATGTAAGGGCCACCCTTCCAGCAATGGTGGAGGCAACAGCTACTTTCTGAATTCTGCCTGTAATTTAGGGTCTATAAGATAAATGCAATCAGAACCTGTAATAATGATAGTCCAAACAATACCCAAATGATACCAACTCCAGAAAAAAAAAATGTTCCCTGAAAGGCTCCTTGTTAGCATTTAATATATCATTTTCTCATAAGACATGAAATACTTTTTCTTTCAGTGCTGTGAACAAGTTCATTTTTCCCAGATAAATACTATCTAACATAGTTTAGCTTGCACTTAAGGAGACACACAGCTCACATTATGACAGACATGGAAACTGATCTCAAATGAAGGAACGGCAGATTCCCTCACATTCTAATAGCTAAGTGGGAACTAAGACTGATATTTGGGACCTGCAACCAACAACAGGAAGAATATCTAAGATGCAAAGTTAAATTTAAGAATGTTAATTAGAAATATGATAGAGAAATGTTCTAGTGAGGTTAAAATCAGGTTACCTCAATGCATCTAATAGCAATGAATATAAAGTCCGTGTCAATTTCCTTGGGTGTCTCTTAAGAAATAATTAGGAAGCCTTAAATAGGAGGAACCTAGAAGTCTTGAGAAAGCTGTTTTCTTGGGAGTAACATAAAGCTCTTATAACAATCCTGATTGTAGCCCACCAACTAGCAGGAAGCTGAACCTCCTGACGAAAGGAATGCTTAGCTTTCCTGAGTTTCAGTCTAAATTTAGAACTCTAAAGTTACATAGCTACTTTGAGTTAATCTTGACCAAGTCATAAACCACAGCATATATACTGAAAATAATCAGCCGATGATATCTGGATTTGAAGTTTTTGAATCAAGTCTGCTTGATTCAAGAGTAGCTTGACAGACATGTTTCTGAGCAGCTTTATTCTCTACGGATGATACCAAATATAGACCACACAGCAAAATAAAATAAAAGCGAATACAGGCACTTACAACTTGGCACAGCAACTCCTGCACTGGGAGCTTTAATTGTGCTATTTGATTTAGTTCTCCTAGAAGTCTATAAATTAAGGTTCAGAATGTTTGCTTCAAAGTCACATAGAAAAGAAACTATTTCAAAGTCACTTAGAAAGGAAATAACAAAAAAGACAAAGAATTAAAGTATGTTACACCCACTGCCTGAATCTGTACTTCCAATACTCTAAAGTCCACTCCAGCGCTGCTGTAAAAAAGAGTTAATGGTCATGAAGCCATAGATGAAAATGTCCACTAGAGGAAAAATTAGAACACAACACTAATGGGGAAAAAATTATCTTACTGAATTAACTATATTCAGTTTCCCATGAAATCAACAGTATTTCCAATGAAATTCCAAAGTTCTGACACCCACAGCCACACAAACTAAAGTACACTTTGAAGAGATCATCTATTCTGATTTCTTTAAAGTTTGTCTCTAAACAGCTGACTACTAGAAAGGAAATGTATTATTACTAATATTACAACTGACATTAATTAGGCACTCTTTAAGATAAATAACAAAAAGAACACTGGTGATATTATAAAACTATGTCAATGGCATAAAAAAGGCAGCAAATTTTAAGAAGTACAATAGGAAGCATTAGTTATTCCGAGAGTTTGTCTATGCTTCCTTCTGTACACGAAACGAGTAAACAAAGAACTTTTCATGTGGCGATGGACAAATCCTACCGCCATTATTATTTAGACAAAAGGAATATTCAATTTATTAAAAGCAGTTCATATAAACTTTTAAAGGATGCATTAGTGTAAACACAATTCTCCCAGCACCATAGGCTAAAATGCCTTTGAAAATGCCACGCTAATATAAACCTTTAAGACTTCAGACGAGTCAAAGAAACAAAAGCCTAGTGAAGCACCATGATCATGTGATGTCTAGTTCAAGGGTATGTTCAACAGTGTTTGAAATATTTCTTTGGTTACCTCAAGAGAAAACAAGACTCAGAGTAAAAAGAATCAAAACTTTCTAAAAAAAAATATTGTAGGAAACAAAGTTTTCTTGACATTCTATGCTTCCTCAGAGTTGTTATTCTACTAGCAACTTTGATACCAGACCTGAATTCCAATTCAGATTAAAATCTGTTTTCTCAAATGGAAAAATTGTATAATCTCTAGCTGGAAAATAAATGTTTAAAAGATAATAAACACGAAGCACTAAACATGGTATTTGGTACATGATGATCAATAAAAGCTTATCTTGTGACTTACCATAATTTTTAAATATAGTATTCAGAGAAATATCTATTCAAAATAATACAGATCTAGTAAAACTAGTTATAATTATATTTTTCAAGTGTATCGCTTGAAAGTATCTTCATTTATAGGACCGGGGACTTTAAATGAAGAATGATTAGCTCAAACTAAAATTCAATGAATCTATTTGCAAAGGTTGGGAGAAAACTCTCCTAAAGATTTCAATTAGATTCTCAATTTACTGATTTCAGTCCTAACATTTCCCTGGCTCACCTATATGAGAACTATTTCAAAACTCGTCTACAAGCATTACATTACTATGTGGTGGGAAAGTCGTTATGAATTTTACATAAAAGAGCTGGAGAAAACCTGCATTCTAGCCTTGTTTACCTGAACAGGGGCCTACTTTTAAGTCTTAAAACTGAGTAAGGATAAAGCAGTCTGAAAATCTGGAGCTCTCAATTGCAAAAGACAGAAGTGATGGTTGGTACAGGCTTCCATGGAAGTGATAGCTGGGGGTATACAGGCTTCCGTGGTCCTACACTTTTACTTAACGCCTGAGGGGGGAGCAGCATTTCCAAGTCTAACTTACTGGCAACTTGAACACCATGTGACAGTCACCACTGTTCTAAAAACAATTATGAATGCTGCACTTGCATTCTATGGGGCAATCTCAAGGGATTCAATAAAGGAATACCAATTCTAGGTCAGACTAAATTAATTGTTGCTAAATGCAGCAACAGAAATGTTCTAGATGCCTATTGAGAACCCACTACGTTTGGTCAGACCCAGATTTCTATATTCACAAGATACTTTAGAAATAATTTCTGTATTACGACTGGTCTAACAAAACTCCTTATAAGGAAATATACACTATAATTTTCTCAGAATGGTTTCTTGGTTGAGAGATAATTCACAAAGTTGGCTTCATAATAACAAGAACTATGTAAAAAGTATTCTAAGTAGGAGATATCCTTTAATAGCACAGTATACCTGGCACCTTTATCTATTAAAGAGGCCAATTTTTATATTTAGTATATATAACTAAACATGTAGGTACATGTTAAAAACTTCCAGTCTTTAAAATACGCAATCACTGTGGCGGTGCCTCGCTAAATTCCTGAAAACATGCGTGTCTATGACATGTGCATGTTACTTTTCTGAAAGCCTCTGGATCCAGTAAGAATGCTCTTGCTATCAGGACTCTGCATCTGGTTCCTATTCATTCCTCAGCCTTCTTCCTGACACTCAGGACAAGCTAACCCCACTCACTTTAAATATCCATGCTTTATCTCCACTCGCTCACTGAAATAAACACATGCACAGTTCACTAAGTAGTGTTTTCCTCAATATCTCAATTCAAAGCAAAGGAAATCCTTGCCTTTTATATTTCCTAAACAATCTCTTGCAACCCAGAAGTCTCCAGGGACTATAGTTTACAGAAATTAAAGTGAACATAAAAGACAATAGCAAAAAACTAGAGAGTTACTAAAGATAGAATTCTTGTAGATCCTTTGAGTACCAACTCCTAGCAAATAAAGCATTTATCTGCTTTATATACTGAGTGATCCAATGTCTGCTAATTGTGTCTGAACATTAACTAATCTAAGCCGGTCCATAGTTCACCAGTATTCTACTAGATATTACAAAGATAACTGGAAAAAAATTAAATTGTTTAGCTTGATCTTAAGAGATTTTAAGTAGTCAACTTAATTGTTACTAATAAAAAATTAAACAAACATAAATTATGTATTTTCACGGTAATTTCTGTTTGTGGTGGCCCCACGCATGTTTAAATGACGAGGGCTGACTACAGATAGATTACTGGGTTGCCAGTATTATTACTACACTCTACAGGTGGAGGAGACACTGAGGTTAGAAGTTAAGTGGTTTCTACAAACTATTATTGACTTATACTATGGGTTCAAATCTCTTGACATTAGGTCCTGTACCTGCTGTATAACAGAGACCCCTTATTTAATTTCAAAGAAAATAAAAGTAATTCACTACAATGAGGATGCGTAGATGGTGACTTTCTAATGGATAATTCCCTACAGATAAAAAGATCTGCTTTTCGAGGAAAACAAGCTTCTTTGAGAAACAGCAATGATTTTATTTGCATTGGAAAAAGCATTTAAAATGTTAAATGTAGGACGAATTCGTCATCATACATGCAGAATGCTAGCTTTTCTAAGAGAAATGGGATTTAACAACACCAGATCCTTCTGCTTTCTATGAGTAAGATACCTTGAACAAGGAGCAAAACTATTTCTTGCCTTGGTATTTCCCTTCTTAAAACAGAGACAGAAAAATTTAATTCCTACCTGGCATAGAAAGCATAAGGAAGAATTTATTGTTTGTGGACTGCTTTGAGATTCCAGATTGAAATACATAATCCGGTTGGTCTTCAACCCTAGAATAAAGGCAAACTTTACTGAAAATTGCCTCGGCAGATGCCTCCAGAATACGATACTACACCATTATCAACAGAAACAGAAGTTTTACTTTAATTAGATCTGGCTCGAAATGAAGGGAAGAAAGACTCCTAATTTTTTTTTATTAAATTCTTTGCCCAATTCAAAAGATTAATACTTCTATTCTCCTTTGTTCCTCCTCAGTGAGCAGTTACCCTATTCCAGTTAGCAGAGACCGCAGACATTTATTAGAGAACAGACTCAAAATGATGCAACCAAGCGTGATAGTGAGTGAAAACACCAAGTCAATAAATTTGATATAATAAGTTTTGGTTAAATTTCATTTCAAATTTGTTCTACAACTAGACAACTAGAGTTACTGGAGCATTAACCGTTGCCAAATCTTAACCCTTTATAAACGACCGGACTGTTTCTCATAAAATGAACTGGTATACTTTTCTTAAGGATTCAATAACATGTACTGTCATTCTTCAGACGATATTTTCAGGAGAAGAGAAATGAAATCGACTTCTCAGGAAGTAGCACTAGGGGTACTGAGCATATCCCCTAGCTTACGTCGAAAGCAGAAGAGACAAGGGCGTGTTAACAACTCTTTAGGGATGTAATAAAAAGTAAGACAAATGGACTGAATAAAAAGGCTCCATCCATACAAACAAGAAAAAGTTTTATGATGAGAAACCAAAAACCACCCAAGACGAGAGAATAGAAATCGGTTCAACATGGAGGTTTTGGGGGCCACTGGACAGAAAGCAATGAAGCAGCGTAGCCAAAGAGGTAAGAGAGTGAGGGCCTCTAAAGGCAAGGTGGAACACAGAGAGAACACTAGAGCAAAAAGATGCTTAGGCACAACAACAAGCAAAAAGCCCCCCCCACAACCCCACCCTCCCACAAGCTAATAACTAATAAAAGCGCTAGGATGAAGTACCAAAGAAGGAAAACAGTGCCAACACTCAGAAAACTGGTCAGCGATGGCCGAGAGGTATCGACTGAGGATGCACAGTCCAAGGGGAGCAAATCGCGCAAAGCAGGACCGACAACGAGGGACCACCGGGGCCAAGGGGCACGCAGGGGGGGGGGGCGGGGGGGAAGCGGACAAGGGTCGCCGCAGGACCAGGCGGCGAAGACGGAGCGGAACGACCGCGGGCTGGACAGCGGGCGCGAGGTGCGGGCAGGGCCGGC